AATAATTAACTGAAGAATTAAGATTCATCAGAAATTTCAAATACGGAAACAGTGAAACATCTACTTCTTTCTCTTCCTAGTTGCTTCGTATTTTAAACCCGAAACCTAAAAAGAGAGTAAGTCAGCTAAACATGCTTCCTTGGACATTTGCTTAGATATGTAGATAATATTTACATCATCATTTTATTTGTTGTACGAGGTCTTAGAATTGGTCATATTAGTGTAAACATTCGTTAAAATGTACGTGTATTCAAAGATAAAATGTATATGTATGCAGAGATTAAATGTGTATATATATGCAAAGATAAAATGTATGTATATGCAAAAATAAAATATATGTGTATGGAAAGATATAATGTATGTGTATGCAAAGATAAAATCTATGTATATCGTAACATTAAATGTATGTGTATGTGATATATCGTGGATAATACGATATAAGCAACTAGGTAATTCCGAGTGGAAAGATTACGGTAAGCACAGGAATGCGGTAAAACAAATAACATGAATTTTATTGTACGGAAATTACAATGAGTAAGAGTTCTTAATAATAATAATAATAATAATAATAATAAGAAGAAGAAGAAGAAGAAGAAGAAGAAGAAAAATGGGAGATACCTCACGGAGAACCGTAGTGGTACTGCTACTACAATACTTCGTCACGTCTTTTATTTTCTCCTCATTCACGTCTCTTTAGATTGACCAATCACTGTCGGGGTGTGATATGTTGTTCCACTATAAGAGTATGCAAAGATAAAATGTATGTGTATGCAATGATAAAATGTATGTATATACGAAGATAAAATGTATGTGTATGCAAAGATAACATGTACGTGGATGCAAAGATTAAATGTACGTGTCTGCAAAGATAAAATCTATGTTCCCTTAAAATATGCAAAAAAGATTAAATAAAAAAGTAAAATTTCATCAGGAGTGTAATATTCAATGAACTCGCAGAAGAATCATCAGAGTACGAAGAAATTTTAAAATGTTTCAGAGGAATGAAGTGTGAATGGGAATCTGACTCATAATCCCGGTGTTATTGTTCTATAAACTCTCCCATTGACAACACGTTCAGGAAGATGTGCGAAGTACGTACACGCGCAATCTTTTGCATTTCAAGACAACTAGGATCACCAGCAACATACTGTTTAAATTATTTGTAGCAGAAACATTTGGAAGTGTCTGAGATTTGATATGCCATATCTTATGAATAACTATTTATAGAGCATTTTTCCATGAGCATTTTTAATAAAATACTTGCATCAAAATGGATTCTAACCTCAATGGTCATATATTTTCCCGCCAGAATGATGACAATAATATCCGATTCAAAGAACTGCTTTCTTGTGTCAATAGTTGAAAATGGACTTCGTACAGTGAGGCTCGAAGGTTTTGGCGAAAGCCATCCTTCTTCGAATACTGGGAACTGGCGCTACGGAACCACAAAGAACTGTAACAGATATGGAATAATGGTTAGCGACTGGGATTGAGAAATCGGAGAGCCGAGTTCCAATTTTAGTCGAATCAATTAGATTCACTTACGTGCTAATACGCCTGGGAAAAGGTATGAATCCTCTTCTTCTTCTTCTCCAAGCTATGGGTAAGTACCAGGACAGGCCGGGTTCTATAGCCTTGGATGGTAACTGGTCTAGTGCAGAAAGAAATGGAAACCTACTGCGGCCAAAAAAACAAAAATATCAGCCTCGCCACTCATGTATCGAAAGATACATGATCGCCTAAGCGTGTATCACGTATGGCACATAACTGACTGATCAGCTGAGAATTTTCAACAAATGCAAAAGCGAAAATGGATAACGCGTGTAGCTCAAAGAAAAAAAATAATAAAGATGTTGACGTTCCACGCTACAACAAACAAAAGGTTAGAAAGGAAACGTCCATCAATGCTGGAAAGGGAGTTAACAGAACATGAGAAACCTTTCTTTCTGAAAATTGTTTTAAGTGATATATTGTATAAGTTTCAATTGATAGAAGTAATGCCTTGTCAGTCAATGGAATCAGAATATTTCCTTGAAGGATAAGGCTGCTGCTACTGCTGCTAATACAACTTCTACAGCAACAACAATAACAACAACAACAACAACTACTACTAATAATAATAATAATAATAATAGGTTGGTGCAAAAATAATGACGTAAGAATGTCGTTTTTTGACGTTAAAAAATACGTCAAAAACGACATTATTACGTCATTATTTTTGCACCAACCTAATAATAATAATTACAGGATAAAAGTTAGAAGTATCTGCATAATATCGATAAATTACCGTAAAACATTTAATAGTGTGCCACACTCTCGGTTCCTTAAGTCTTTGAAAATGTCTCCTTGGTGATTTTTGTAAATATACCAATGGACTGTAGACAAGCATATTATACTTAAATAGCACAAAAAGCACTGCCACTTCCAACCGGCTGAATATCCGACGGAGAATCTTTCAAGGAGATCACCCTCACGCTGTGGCCCCTACTGTTCTGTCTGTCCTTCATACCCCTTTCACATAAACTAAACATCAATATCTATGGACACAAAGTAAACAAGAAGGTATTCAATCTCCTACTCTACATGGATGATCTCAAACTATTTGCCAAAGACGACAATGAGTTGGAGGGTCTCTTCAATAATATAAAATGTTTCAGTGACGAGATACATATGTATTTCGGATTTAGATAAATGTGGAAAAGTAACATTCAAGAAAGGTAGAATTACAGAAACACATTCAATAGATCCAGGTTTTGTCACAAAGATTTGGGAACTGGAACAAGTAGAACTATATTAATATCTAAGAGCCTGCGAAAGAGATTGAATACAGCATACCTAGATGAAGGAGAAACTAAGAAAGGAAGACTACAGAAGTGAGCATCTGCTGTTAAATACAGAGTTGACATCAAATACCAGAACATCAGCCATAAAATCTTTAGCTGTACCTGTGGTGAAATACACTCTCAACATCCTTAAAACAGATGACATTAAGCAAACGGAGAACATAAGAATGCTTCTCACTTGCCATCGATGTTGATTGTCAGTATGTGTTCAGATTCGAAGGAATCAGAGGATTAATTCAATTAGAACTATTTTACAAAACTACAACAATTGGTCTTCAATGATATCTAGAATCTAGAAGAATGGATGATGATTTGTGTCAAAGACCATCAAAGAAGTAAGAAACTGTATTCAGTAATAACAGTATTATACTTGCTGCAAAGAACTAATGTTCGCTAACTAGAAATTACCAAGTAAACCTACTGAAAAATTGTGTTAGCGCAAACTGAGAATTTTGTGATAAATATCTATAAACATTTGACTATCTTATATCAGGCGGCAAGGTATTGGCGCCTACTTAATATAAAACTCGGCATGAGAGAATGGGGTAATATCTGCACTGGAATTTTTACAGAAGGAAAACTGCAAAGGAATTGGTATGAACGCCAACCAGACACGGTTACAGATATAGGGCCTGTAACAATTTTTATGTGACTTTACAGTACACACAGAACAATCAAATAATCACGCAGACATTGTAATTAGAGACTACAAAAAAGAATGTGCTTATTTCCTTGCCGACTGCCATCTATCTTTGAAGATTTAAAAAAAAATCAAAATAGAACCAAGGTGAAGTTGAAATATCAAAGTTGTGGCACATAAGGCCGTCAATAAATCCATTTGTAGTTGGAGCTCTTGGTTTGACTGTAAAGAATTCCGATAGAGTATTTGTAGGGATTCCTGGTAGCCTAAACCTTAAATGAATAAAAAAAAATGTACTCACAAGTACCGCTCAGACTTTACGAAGGGTTTTATCTATGTAAAATATGTGTAATGTTAGGTTAATTTTTTACAAAAATGCTTAGTGGAAAATCTCATGGTGCCATTTCTGAACTTTCATTTTCTCACTGAAATCAATAGTCCGTTTTTACGAGGTATAGGTAGGACCTAACAGCCATGCGAGCTAACGACTGGAGTGAAAAGCAGAATTATTATTATTATTATTATTATTATTATTGTTGTTGTTGTTGTTGTTGTTTTAGAAGTGTCCTTGAGTGAAATTTATTTATTCCTGCTTGTATCCTGATCTTTATTGTGTTGGCACCATTATCCAATTATGTGCTAAAACCGGATGCTTATATAATGATCAACGGTCTTACTCATTATTCGTATAATCATGAAGCCAGTCAATGTTTCTAGATGCCATAACTAATTAAAATCATCAAAAAGTACCTGAAGATATGAAATAATGGATTCTTTTAATTGCTTTACTATTATCCTCATCATTGTCATTAAAGTCATTATATATCTGCGCAACATCATGGCAGTACACTAAAGTAGGGCAATTTGAAGGTAAGGATGAGGAGAAAAAGAACATTGCTTAAATAAACAACAGACACATATGTTGTTAGAAATATATCATATTTTTGAAATGAGATATTCTTGCCGGGGTCAGTTGAGTGTTACATGTCCCGCGAAAAAAACGCTAGAAATAAAACAGGATGTAGCGAATCTATGAATTGATTATACTAGAACAAGCAAGAAGACAAAATTTTCCGGGTAACTAAAAGTAGTTCTTTTCTACAACTATCTTCAATGAGTTGGGGGAGTTGGCAGATGGCCTTAAAATGTAGGCTGGAGTACGGAAGTTATCTCACACATCTTTATCATCTCCATCACCGACGAGTAGTCGGCAACGATTTCCAACTTGAAGCAGTTGTGTCATTTATTATGAGAAGCAAACTTTCCAACGTGGAGTAAAGATGATTTCTGATTCGGCTGTTTATTTTTAACGGCATACCAACAAGTATGGGTTATTTAATTTTGTAGACATTTTTTAAGTAATTTTTAAGATAATAATGATATAGCGATACAAGTCTTCATATATTTCCGAAGGATATTTGCACGTAAGTGAATATCAGGAACTCAACGAGAACTGGAACTCGTCACACCGATTAATAATTCAGGTAATAATCTTTTACACCGCCCGCAGATGTTAGCTTACAACACCTGGTATTCCTAAGCGGCTACCCATCAAAGTATTGACCAGACTCGAAGTTGCGTAACTTCGGCGATCGTATGGGAACCGATGTTTCCACGTGACGTGGCCGTAATCCTTTTCAATTCCGTCAAGCATAGAGTCGGTTTTAAAGCTTCTCAAATAATTTTCAAAGAATCTGAAAGAAAATGAGATATATTCTCCATCTACGCACTGGGAAAATATCAATTAAAAATTCATTAAAACACGTTCAATATATTCCGTTGAGAAATTGGAAAGACCTTTCATTTCAAACTGAAACAATATGGGCATTCCATTTATGAAAACACGAATATATATATATATATATATATATATATATATATATATATATATATATATATATGTGTGTGTGTGTGTGTGTGTGTGCATTGAATCTTTAAAATCGTGAAATTAAAGCGGCTTTTCAGAAAACACATTCATCTTGATTGTAAATCGAGAGACAAAGATAACGTGAAGGATATATATATATATATATATATATATATATATATATATATATATATATATATATATATATATATATATATATATATATGTAACAACAAAAATTGTCGAAATCGTGTAACAGCAAAATTGTTCAATGCTTAGAAATGATTAAAGATATCTTGCTGGAATTCACCGACGTTTTTATAACACTACTGGACTCTACTTTGAGCAATAAACATGTATAATTACTCTCCAAGCTTAACAGAAGAAACGTGATGAAATCGATCATAAACAAAAATGACATGTTCATAAGTAATTAATCATATTTAAGGATCTGAAGCTCATTAAATATTAAATATTATATATATATATATATATATATATATATATATATATATATATATATATATATATATATATATAGAATAATCAACCAAATATTAGTAATGAACGATAATACTTAGGGCAAGAACAACATATAAAATTCGCCATCGGCGCGAAGAAGTAGTCAACTGCTAGAATTGAGTCAAGTGAATTCCCCAATGATTCTCTAATTGCAGACCAACATACAGTAGTTACTACTGTATTTCTGTAATTGCGTACATACCCATTATCGCTCGTAGATATGCTACAAGAATTTTCCAACATATTCAAGATGCTCTGGGATCTCTCTAACCTTCTAAATTTCTGCCCTGGAGTAACAAAATGCCGCACAAGTTTCACCTACTATTTCGTTTTCAAGTATTTTTTCACTGTCATAGCTGAAAATCCTCTCTCATGGCCCAAACCACTTATGAATTGAGTTGGATCTTTTCGAATTTATTTCCTTAGCTCTAAATTGAAATGATACTTGTACCTGTTGTGACCGCCTGATCCAGTTTTCCTCTCTACTGGACACACTTTTAAAACCAATTCACCGTTGTCTTGGTGGTTCTTGAATGGTCTTTGATGATGGAAGCCAAAGTATGAATGTTGATACCATTTCTGAAGGGCCGAATGATCGTTCTTCTCTAACCATTGCTCATTTGGGAATACTGTGGCTCTGACACAAAACGATTTTAACCTGTTCTCTTTCTTGCTGAATTAGTCAAAGTGTTTTTCAGTGATTCTTACGAAAATGGTGTCAAGATGACTAAACATCTTATCTGAAAACTTGGAAAAAAGAAACCCAATTACTTTAGTGGGTTTTTTTAGATATTAAAACTTTTGTGGAATGGATAATTATGCTGTTACATGATTTAGACAATTTTACTGTTAAACTCGGTATAGTCTCTGCCTAAATATTCTGAACGACATTGTTTTAATGACTCGTTTCAGCGTACTCGGCTACCTACTTGAGAGTGTTAACCCGAACGAAGATATGTATATGATATTAAACAACAGGGATTTTAATATAATTCTTACAAGGTTACCAAGTATGGCGACATATACATTAGGATGACAGGAAGATGTAACGGTCGAAACGTGGTAAATATTAGATTCTTAAATAAATTCATTCGTTTTATATAATTCATTTCAATATATATTATTTATTAATAGTGCTCATAAGCCTTTCAACAACGTATTCTTCTTCATCGTTTACAAACTCCTGCCAAAGATTTACTAACTTTCCACAGTAGAAATCACTATGTTTTGACCCGAAACATGCATTAAATCACGTTTTAATATCCGTTTAATATTCGGTGTGGAAGTTTATTTATTTTTTTTAATGTCATGAAGGCATTTCTGACCTTAGTTTGTTTTGTTTTAAGGCATATCAAAACCTCAGTGGGTCATTTAATGCCAACAAACTTTTTGAAATAGATTCATAACGATAGTTTGGAAAAAAGGCGTGTATGTATACATAAATATTTGAACCATTTTTCAATGACTCATATTTTTGAGTACAATTCAACTTTTAGGAAATTTACAATCTTAGATGGTTTTATTTCCGTAAAAAGTTTATTTTTCTTAATTACTCACTTGGTAATATTTTGTTCACAATAAATCAAAATCGACACACTCTAACAGTATATGTTTCACTGTAAATGTTAATTATTGCTGACTATAATTTTTCCTTATAAAATTATCGCTAGTAATATTTTTTTTTTATTCCAAAGAATTTCTGGTATTAAAACCTATTTTTTACACAAGTTTGTGTAAAAATATTTTACTCACAGCTGGGACCCTAACAGGTGCTACCACCCCGGGTCAGGGTGGACCTGGGAACACCAGCAATTAAGAGGTGGTTCCACGCCCCTCAAAACCTTTGGACGTAGTTTATCGGCTTACTCAGGACGCGGATGTAGTTTATCGTCATACCCAGGACGGTTCTGACCTTAGGTCTCTGGTTGGTACCCGGAAGGAAATGTTTATATAACAGAAATGAAAAAATAATAATAATAATAATAATAATAACAATAATGATAATAATAATAATCCCTGATCGGCTCATTATTCGCTATATGGATTTAGACACAGTAGTAAATATATGTACTATGTTTGTCCAATTTCTGATGCTAATCCTTTGAGCCCTGCATTACTGAATAATTTTAATCCTTCTGTCTGAGCTTCTGAGTTAAAATCCGCAAATAATTGGTATGTAATATTTCACGGTATATATAAAAATAGTTACAAGTGTTTACCAACCGGTGGTTGGGCATTAAGTCATTTTTCTCTATCACTGTTGAATCGGTGACTGGGCATTGTGTAATTTTTCTCTACCACCGGTAAAGCGGTGGTCCGTGCTTAAAAGCTTAAGGTATATTTAACAAGTATTCATATATTATTTACATTGATTATGCGCTCCTGAGTAGATGATGAATTCCACACAAAGCGAAATTAGAATTTATTGTAAACAGAGTCTGCAGGCTATCTTTTTAATGTTTTTGTCTGTACACGTAACCAGGCCTAGAAACAGTAGTTTTAGATTCCACATTTTGTTGCCATTTCAGAAAGATTATATTTACTTTCTTGTAATATTCTACAGATATGTTCCATCTAATTTCATTGACATATCTATGAGATTATATTAACCACTGCGCCTATATTATTAGATTCTACATGTCTGTCTGTAGGAATGGTAAAGTCTCAAAGGTTAGTCACTTTCTGTGGACATTTTTAGGTGACGTTCATATAATTTTTGTCATAAGACGCAGTGTAATACTGAAATTATTCTCAATGAATATATTGTCCAATCATATAATGTCAATTTTTGGTCTCCTTCACTGTCGAGATTGGACTGCCAAATATTATGGGGTCAACAGACTCAACATGCTGTTCACATAATCAGCATATTGGGTTGCCGCACTATGTTAATTATTTTGTTTGCCGGGTATTCCATACACTGCAGCTATTAGAAACACACACACACACACACACACACACACACACACACACACACACACACACACACACACGCACACACACACACACACACACACACACACACATATATATATATATATATATATATATATATTAAAATAATATGAAAGAAGAGTAAGGTTTAGAATCCGCCCTTTTTAATAATTATTTTTATTTAAAAAAAAAAGCTCGATACATTAACCGTAAACCATAATATTATAATTATTTACTATTTTAAAAATAGGATACCATCGCTACACTGGAATTACCCTGTTTCAAAACAGAAAATAAAATTTTAAATTTAATTATAAAATTAAATTTAAAATCCATAGCTTTATTTCATTATCAAACGATTTTTGGAATAAGCTATAAAGAACTTTACTTATAAGCACAGACAAACTTAATATTTCAAACTGTTAAGGCTACAGAAAAATTCAATCATGATAAGGGTTGTTTGTGTGCGTTAATTATCTATATATATATATATATATATATATATATATATATATATATAGAGAGAGAGAGAGAGAGAGAGAGACAGACAGAAATATTGATGTTGTTTTCATCATTATTATTTGATATTCCTTATCTCATATTCTTGAATATCCACCATAATAACGCACTAATGAGAACAATTCGAAAAAGATTTTCAGCTACGCCCCCCCCCACCTTATATTCGGCATCATCTGACCGGAGTGAAAGACAGACCCATGTGCGGTAACGGAATGGTGAAGAGACAATAAAAATATGTACCAGAAGAAGTAACCAAAAGATCGCTAATTCTTGCATTGTGTTTATTAACGTCCGCTGGATTTGACAATGAATTTAGTTCAGTTTACTAACACACATAGACGAAGTCTGCTAAAACTAAAATAAATCTCAGTATTCCAAATTTCGTTGTATCATAGTCCCGTTTCGTTTCTCATCTATTACGAGAGTCAATCAATGAGTAATTCCTAATTTTCTTGAATAACAACCGATCACATAGCAAAAGTAGTAACAGTTTTACACCCTTTATAAAGCCCAAGTGTTACTCATAATAGAGATTTACAGAGTACGTGGCACGGTTTATGGCGATATGTGGGGGGATAATTTTACTGAATCCGATTCCTACTTTTATTGCTAGGAATATTTTTTATTGCTGTCACATCTCGCCTGCTTCTCCTGCTATATATTCAAAGATTCTTGATAAAATCCAAAGTAGAATAATCTGCAATGTTATTTATTCTAACCTGACATCCATGTTTCAGTCACTTTCCTACTGTCATGACGTATCTTTCCTTTTTTTTTCTTCTTTTATT